CCGGCTCCGGCTCCGGCACCGGTGGCTGCGGCGCCGCCGGCATCTGCTCCGCCCGGACGGGTCCCGTCACGTCCAGCTCTTCGTCCTCCTCATCATCGGTGATCTTGATGTCCAAGTCCTCCGTGTACTTCTTCCGCTTGACCTGCCGGTTGGACCGGCGTTTCTGGGTGGAGAAAAGGAGACGGGATGAAGGTCCCACCACGCCCCAAAGCCAGGTGGACCTTCCACCGGCGGCGCGGACCTTCTGCCGGTGGAGTTGACCGGTACCTGGACGCTGGTTTCTTCTTCTTCTCGGGGCGACGGCGCCGGGAGGACCTCGGCGTCGGAGTTGTCGGAGGAGGCGTTGCGCTTCCGCTTCTTCCCGACCACCGGCGTGATGGTGCTGCCGGAGGGAGGTGGGACGTCAGGATGGGGGGACACCTGCTCTGGGGGTTTGCTCCACCATTGAGGTTGGAGGACAACAAGGTCCAGAGGACCAAGGGTTGGAGAACAATGAGGACCAAGCGTTGGAGAACGAAGACCAAGAGTTGGACCAAGGGTTGGAGAACAATGAGAACCGAGGGTTGGACAACGAAGACCAACAGTTGGATCAAGGGTTGGAGAACAACGAGGACCAAGGGTTGGAAAACGAAGACCAGGAGTTGGACCAAGGGTTGGAGAACAACGAGGACTAAGAGTTGGAGAACGAAGATGAACAGTTGGACCAAGGGTTGGACCAAAGGTTGCACCAAGGGTTGGAGAACAATGAGTACCAAGGGTTGGAGAACAATGAGCACCAAGGGTTGGAGAACAACGAGGACCAAGGGCTGGAGGACAACGAGGACCGAGGGTTAGACCAAGGGTTGGAGGACAATGAGGACCAAGAGCTGGACCAAGGGCTGGACAAAGGGTTGGGCCAAGGGTTGGAGAACAACAAGGACCAAGAATTGGACCACAATGAGGACGAAGGGTTGGAGAACAATGAGGTCCAGGGGTTGGAGAACGAGGACCAGGAATTAGACCAAGAGTTGGAGAAGAACAAACACCAAGAGTTGGACCAAAGATTGAAATACAATGAGAACCAAGAGCTGAGGGACAACAAGGATCAAGGGTTGCACCAAGGATTGGAGAACGAGGACCAGGGGTTGGAGGACAATGAGGTCCAAAGGTTGGGCCAAGGGTTGGCCCAAGGCTTAGAAGACAACAAGGACCAAGGGCTGGAGAACAATGAGGTCCAAGACTTGGACAAACACTTGGAGAACAACGAGGACCACGGGTTGGAGGACAACCAGGACCAAGGATTGGAGGACAATGAGGACCAAGGGTTGGAGAACAACGAAGACCAAGAGTTGGAGGACAAGGAGATCCAACAGTTGAGGAACAACAAGGACCACGGGCTGGAGAACAATGAGGTCCAAGAGTTGGACCAACAGTTAGAGGACAAGGAGGACCAAGAGTCAGACCAAGGGTTGGACCAAGACCTCAATCTGGGTGGAGAACCCCGTTTTTGGGGAGTTGAAGACATCTCACCCGGCTTCGCTGGAGGATCTCACCTGGGTTTGCCACGCCCCTTGCTCTTGCCGCCGCCACCTTGACCTTTGCCCTTCCGTTGTCTCTCCTCCTTGGGGCCACCACGGTCACCGGTGGCTTTCCGGCGCCGCTTCCGTTCTCCTTCCTCCTCCGGCCGGACGCTGGGCAACTCGTCCTCGTTGAGGACACGGGGGATGTTCTGCTCGCCCCGGGCCCGGGCGCGGGCGATGGCCTCGGCCACGATGCGGTTGGCCTTCTCCTGCTTCTTCTGGTGCTCCAGCTTGCGGCTCTCCTCCGAGGCGCCGCGGGAGGAGGGCGTGGTCAAGGCGGCCACCTCGGTGCTGCTCAGGACCTTCACCACCGAAAGACCTGGAGAACCTCCTTGAGATGAGCCGGCCTGCGAGGAGAAGGCAAGAATCCAGGTGGGATCAAGGTTGGGTGCAACCACGACCATGGTTGGGTGGAGAGCAAGGCTGGGTTCAACCAAGAACATGGTTGGGTGCAACCAAGACCATGGTTGGGTGCAACCAAGACCAAGGTTTGGGTGCAACCAAGACTACGGTTGGGTGCAACCAATACCACAGCTGAGATCAACCAAAATTGGATTCAACCAAAAACATGGTTGGGTACAACCAAGACCAAGGTTGGGTGGAAACCAAGGTTGGGTGCAACCAAGACCAAGGTTGGGTGCAACCAAGACCTAGGGTTGGGTTCAACCAAGGTTGGGTGCAACGAAGACCAAAGGTTGGGTTCAACCAAGGTTGGGTTCAACCAAGACCACAAAATGGGTTCAACAAAGGTTGGGTTCAACCAAGAACATGGTTGGGTGCAACCAAGACCACAGATTAGGTTCAACCAAGGTTGGGTGCAACCAAGGCCATGGTTGGGTGCAACCAAGGTTGGCTGCAACCCAGACCAACGGTTGGGTGCAACCAAGACCACAGTTGGGTGCAACCAAGACCACAAATTGGGCTCAACCAAGACCAAAGGTTGGGTGCAACCAAGACCACAAATTGGGTTCAACCAAGACCAAGGTTGGGTGCAACCAAGGTTGGATTCAACCAATACCATGACTGGGTGCAACCAAGACCACGGTTGGGTGCAACCAAAACCAAGGGTTGGGTTCAACCGAAGTTGGGTTCCACCAAAACCAAGCGTTGGGTTCAACCAAGACCAACGGTTGGGTGCAACCAAAGTTGGGTTCAACCTAGACCAAGGGTTGGGTACAACCAAGACCAAGAGTTAGATTCAACCAAGGTTGCGTGCACCCAAGACCAAGGTTGGGTTCACCCACCCTGGAGCTCACCTGGGGCTGCAGGACCACCTTCAACGGCACCGTCAACCTCTGCCCGGCGCCCCCCACCACCTGCGGCACCGAGGAGACGGTCACCGGAGCCGCTTGGCCACCGGCACCGCCGGCCGGTTGTTGGAGGAGCTGGATCTTCTGAGGTCCTCCCGCTTGGCCGGCCGGAGGCTGTTGGACCTGGAGTTGGATGGTGACCACCTTGGCCGGTTGACCCGGCGTCCCTTTGGCTTGCCCGAGGGCGGCCAACTGGTTGCCCTGGAGAACGATCTTGCCCGGCAAACTGCCCAAGACCACGTGGCGTTGGCCGGGTGGGGCGGTGCCGCCTGGCGGCTGTTGGAGGACCAAGGTGATGCGTTTCGATTCGCCCTATGGGAGAGAAAGGGCGGAGTTGGGAGAAGAACGGGGTCCTCGGACACCCCAGGACTTGACCTTGACCCTTGGAGACCCCCAACCTCCATCTTGAAGACCTGAACTCCACGGAACCCAACCCCAGGACAAGACCTTGACTCTTGGAGACCCCCAACCCCATGGAACCCAACCCCAGGAGATGACCTGCACCCTTGGAGACCCCAACCTCCATCTTGAACACCTCACCTCCATGGAACCCAACCCCAGGAGATGACCTGCACCCTTGGAGACCCCAACCTCCATCTTGAAGACCTCAGCTCCATGAAACCCAACCCTCGGAGATGACCTTGACCCTTGGAAACCCCCAACCTCCATCTTGAAGACCTCAGCTCCATGAAACCCAACCCTCGGAGATGACCTTGATCCTTGCACACCCCCAACCCCATGGAACCCAACCACAAGAGATGACCTTGACCCTTGGAAACCCCCAACCTCCATCTTGAAGACCTCAGCTCCATGAAACCCAACCCTCGGAGATGACCTTGATCCTTGCACACCCCCAACCCCATGGAACCCAACCACAAGAGATGACCTTGACCCTTGGAAACCCCCAACCTCCATCCTGAAGACCTCAACCCCATGGAACCCGACCCTGAAAGACGACCTTGGCCCTTGGAAACCCCCAACCCCATGAAACCCAACCCCAGCAGATGACCTTGACCCTTGAAGACCCGCAACCTCCATCTTGAAGACCTCAACCCCACGGAACCCAAACCCAAGAGATGACCTTGACTCTTCAAGACCCCCAATCTCCATCTTGAAGGCCCCACCTTTATAGAACCCAACCCTGAGAGATAACCTTGACCCTTGAAGACCCCCAACCTCCATCTTGAAGGCCCCACCTTTATAGAACCCAACCCTGAGAGATAACCTTGACCCTTGAAGACCCCCAACCTCCATCTTGAAGACCTCAACCCCACGGAACCCAAACCCAAGAGATGACCTTGACTCTTCAAGACCCCCAATCTCCATCTTGAAGGCCCCACCTTTATAGAACCCAACCCTGAGAGATAACCTTGACCCTTGAAGACCCCCAACCCCATGGAACCCAACCGCAGGAGATGACCTTGACCCTTGGAGACCTCCAACCTCCATCTTGAAGACCTGAACTCCATAGAACCCAACCCCAGCAAATGACCTTAACCCTTGGAGACCTCCAACCTCCATCTTGAAGACCTGAACTCCATGGAACCCAACCCCAGGAAATGACCTTGACTCTTGAAGACCCTCAACCTCCATCTTGAAGGCCCCACCTCTATAGAACCCAACCCTGGAAGACAACCTT